CATCACAGCTCACAGCAACCTCCAACTCCTGGGCTCAAGCAAGTCTCCTGCCTCAGCCTCCCAAGAAGCTGGGACCACAGGCGCCCGCCACAACACCCGGCTATTTTTTGGTTGCAGCCGTCATTGTTGTTTGGCGGTTCTGGGCTGGACTCAAACCTGCCAGCTCAGGTGGTTGTGGCTGACTCCTCAGCCGGTTGAGCCACAGGCGCCGAGCCATTTATATTGAGTGTTAATGTATATACTCTGTGTATGCATTTAGCATTTTCCACTTCTGACTATTTTTAACTTTGTGATTTTAATTTTTGAATTCATATTCTTTTGTGTTTGATTTTTTTTCTTTATTTATTTATCTATTTTTTGAGACAGAATCTCACTCTCTTGCCCTGGGTAGAGTATTGTAGTGTCATAGCTCATGGCAACCTCAAACTCTTAGGCTCAAGCACTTCCCTTGCCTCAGCCTCCGGTAGCTAGGACTACAGGCACTTGCCACAACACCCAGCAAGTTTTTTTTATTATTACTATTTTTAATAGAAATGGGGTCTCGCTCTTGCTCAGGCTGGTCTGGAACTCCTGAGCTCAAGCAATCCATCCACCTCAGCCTCCCAGAGTGCTAGGATTACAGGCATGAGCCACTGTACCAAGCCTTGTATTTGAATTATACTAAGCAATCTAAACTTTTAACTCAAAAGAACATGTAGGTGTGTTACTTTTAAATTATTGTTTCTCACAACATATTCCAAGAAACTGTTTTTTTGTTCATTTGTTTGAAACAGAATCTCACTCTGTTGCCCTGGGTAAAGTGCTGCCCTTGAGCTTAAGCAATTCTCTTGCCTTAGTCTCCCAAGTAGCTGGGACTATACAGGTGCTGGCCACAATGCCCAGCTTTTATTTTATTTTATTTTTTAGTTGTGGTTGTCATTGTTGTTTGGCAGGCCTGGGCCGGATTCGAACCCGTCAACTCTGGTGTATGTGGCCGGTGCCCTAGACACTGAGCCACAGGCGCTGAGCCCAGGAAACTGTTTTTTAATAGTCCTCAAAATAGTAGGTGCTATGATTTTGCAGGGGAAAGTGGAAATAGGCTCATGATCAAATCATTATTGAAGCACAGCTTGCATTCTTGATGGCACAGAGTTTGCACATAAAAGCTCTGAAAAGTCTTGCTCTGAAGAATGTATTTAATTTTGTTTTAATACAGTGACTTCCAAACTTATTGAACCCCAGAACCTTTTTATCAGTTTAAAATCTATTAAAATCTTTGCTTAATTCATGAAATTACTTGAAAATTTGTAACTCCAATACCAGGCTCAATAAATAAATATGCTATGAACAAAGTCTAGTTAGAATTACTATATTCATTAGTTTGTACTTGAATAGCATTTTATATTACTTTCCATGCGATAGATTTGACCTAATTTTTACATAGTGCAGTATCTGACAGTCCTTTGTCACAGGAGCTGTAATTGACTGTGAGGATAAGAATGGAAACACTCCTTTGCACATAGCAGCACGATACGGCCATGAACTGCTAATCAACACTCTTATTACAAGTGGTGCTGACACTGCAAAGTAAGTAGTACTTAGGAAGGTGTTGATAGTTGTCACAGGGCAGCACAAAAGGAAACAAACTGTCCTTTTTTAGGTATTTCAGGTGGAAATGTGGGTTTTGTCATCAGTATTGTATTAATTGCTTGAACTTTTCCCTTTTTAAAAAATAATTTTTTTCACATTTTTCCCTTCTCCTTAAACAAGATTTGGCTGGAACGTTTTACTTACCTTTTGATATTGACAATGTAGGAGATTACCATGTTTAAATATGATTTTATTTGGTAAGCCAGTGTGGTGTTATGTGTTTTATTCCAGTTCTTTCCCAATTATTTTGATCAGAGCTGTTGATTTTATGATCTCTTTATTTTTAATATAGAAATACTTAAAGGACCCAGAAAAGTATTTGTACATACCAAATCTTTCTATTTTTTTTCCCCTCCCATCCAAATAGTATCTGTAGATAATGGTTTTCAGACTCTATACGGAGGTTGGGGATTCCTTGGTTGCAACTACAAAAGATTTTTTGTGTTCCGCCACACACACTTTGGTCAGAACAATTCATTTTTATTTTATATATTAAAGTTTTTGTGTAAAATTTTGTTTGAAGGATGGGTTCTTCTGCATATGCTCTGCGAAAGTAAATAACCCTACTAAAATTAGAAGTCTATCATTCCTGTGTATGTTTTTATACTGGCATCCTATTTATATGTATTCATTAACAAGTTTTAAAACTTTTTTACTGTCTGTAAATAGTATGCTACTAACATTTGGTTCTTTTTCATATCTCTACATGAGGCTCTTAATTCATTTTATAGAATTTAATACATTGTTTAATATATAAAGCTTTCACAATTTATTCATTTTTCTTACTTGCAAACATAAGTTGCTTCCAGTTTTTCACTACTATGTAACAAATACTGTAATAAACATTCTTAATCACGTCGCTTTATGGGAATGGTTTTTAATGGCTGGGTAATGTGGTAGTGAATTTCGCTTCCCAAGCAGATATCCAGAGACATTTTTGGTTGCTATAATCTGGGGAGGAGGGTGTTTACTGATACCAGGTGTAGGTAGAGTCCAGGGAATCATAAACCTACAGAAAACATTATGAGTTTTTTTTGTTTGTTTGTTTGTTTTTTTAGTGGAACACGATTGCTAGATTCTTGAGCATGAACTTTGTAGATAACAACATTGTGTTGTAGTGTCAGATAAAATAAATAGATCATCTCTTTTATTGGACTTTTATAGATCTTATCCTCCCAGAGACAAATATCCCTCACCTCATCATCCTCATTCATGTCATAGCTTTTTGAGAGCACCTACATTTGGCAGCAGCTATCTTCAAGAATAAAGCACATTAAGAGTAAAATTAGAGAGTGGACACCCGTAGCTCAGTGGTTAGGGCACTGGCCACATACGCCAGAGCTGGCGGGTTCGAACCCATCCCAGGCCTACTAAGCAACAGTGACAACTACAACAACAAGAACAAAAAGAGCCAGGCATTGTGGCGGGCACCTGTAGTCCCAACTATTTGGGAGGCTGAGGCAAGAAAATCTGTTAAGCCCAAGAGTTTGAGGTTGCTGTGAGCTGTGACATCATAGCACTCTACCCAGGGCAACAAAGTGAAATGTCTCCAAAAAAAAAGTAAAATTAGAACCAAAATGTCTAATGAGCACATTTGAGAAATCACTGAGAATTGCAGCTACTTCCATGGAACTAGATATTGATACATTAGTTTCTCAAATACAATATCAAATATCCCACTAGTTTCATGTTGCCCATTATGATAAAAAACAGTGAAAGAAGATCTTTTATTACATAGATATGTACATTTTTTTATATTAAGGATCACAAACCTGGGACCTGCTTGACAATTTGAAAAGACTTTCTAAATGGGCTGTGCATAGTTAGCATTATGTGAGGACTTTCTTGCTTATCTGTGGTAGTAGATATCATGAAAATTACGTGGGGACTTTTTTGCTCATTAGCTTTCATTAGTGTTTGTGTTTTAATGTGTGGTCGAAGACAACTCTTCTTCCACTGTGGCCCAGAGAAGCCTACATGCACAGGATAGCCTCTTCCTCCCCACTACTGCCAACAAAGTCCATAATTGCAATAGTGCTAAGGTTTTAAAACCTTTTTTAGGAGAAAAATAGTTGGGCAATAAGTTACACCCACCTTCAACATTTGGCCATATGACTTTCTAAAATGTTAGAGATTTTGACTCAGCTAATTAACTTTTGCTTAATTGATCTCTTTGTAATTTATTTAAATGGTTATATTTTTTGTGTGTGTTATAATGAAGGCGCGGCATACATGGAATGTTTCCCCTCCACTTGGCAGCCTTAAGTGGTTTTTCAGATTGCTGTAGAAAACTTCTATCTTCAGGTGAGTGGAACATTTGCAGACCAATTTGTCTTTTTGTTTTTATCTTCCCCCAAAGCCCCCAAATTTTAAGATAATCTCTTTATCCTACTTTTTCCAAATTATATAAAGATGAGTCCAAGTATGGATCATTCATTAACCCTTCTTAGAAGATTTGAGTTCTTAATTTTAAGACTCTTGTTTTCTTTTTGGCTCTGAGAAATGTTTTCGTTTTCTAATGATTTCCTCCCTGTTAGTTCTGTTTGTTGGATGTTAGTCTTCTTGAATAGTCTTTTATGTATGGAAGCACCATATCTTCATTTGTATTTCTTACTGGTGTGAGCTTCCTTTTTAAGAGCCAAGAGCCATTCTAAATTTCTTCTAGGTTTGTGAAATTATTCAGACATTTATTTTTGTATTTATTATATAAATTAGGTACTGTATAAACATAAAATATAAATTAATCATAGTTGCTTTGAAACAACAGGATTAATAATTTTTGGTAAATAGTGCTATAAAACTGATCCTTATTGATGGGCGGTGCTTTTGGCTCAGAGGAGCAGGGCATGGGCCCCATATACCGGAGGTGGCGAGTTCAAACCTGGCCCTGGCCAAAAACTGCAAAAAGGCGCCTATAGCTCAACCGGCTAAGGCGCCAGCCACGTACACCTAAGGTGGCGGGTTCGAATCCCCAGCCTGGACCCGCCAAACAACAATGACGGCTGCAACCAAAAAATAGCCGGGCGTTGTGGCGGGCGCCTGTGGTCCCAGCTACTTGGGAGGCGGAGGCAGGAGACTCGCTTGAGCCCAGGAGTTGGAGGTTGCTGTGAGCTGTAATGCCACGGCACTCTACCCAGGGGGACAGCTTGAGGCTCTGTCTCAAAAAAAAAAAAAAAATGTTAGCTGCTATGGTAAGCCTGTAGTCCTAGTTACTTGGGAGTCTGAAACAGGCAGATCACTTGAGCCCAAGACTTTGAGGTTGCAGTGAACTATGACCCATTGTACTCCAGCCCAGGCAACAGTGAGACCCTGTCTCCAATAAACAGATGTGAAATGGATACTTCTGAGCTTTTTTTAATTGTTTTCGAGTGATTCTGTTTTGATTTTTTTTTTTGAAGTATGTGTGTGCCTATAAGTATTCATTTAACCTATTTTCCATGAAAGAAACACTAACATCTCTTCTCAATGGTAATAATATTCACAAGTAACAAAGCACCTAAGGCTTTTCTAAAAATAGCTTTACTGAGATATAATTCACAACCGTACAATTTACTCATTTAAGGTGTATAATTTAGTATTTTTTAGTCTATTCATGAGGATGCATTAACCATCATTACAATCAATTTTAAGTCTTCATGTATTTTCTCTTCTAGTCCTAAGTAACCACTAATCTTCTTATCTGTAAAAATTTGCCTATTCTGAACAGTTCATATAAATGTAATCATGCAGTGGATGGACTTCTGTGACTTAACTCTTAACTCTTTCACTTAGCATAATGTTCTTAAGGATAATCCGTGTATCATCAGTGCTTTATTTCTTTTAATTGCTAAATAATATTTCATTATATCCTATGGCCTTTTAAACAAGCACCCTAGCACTTGTCCTAAAACTCCCAATCTAACAGTGGTTAATCTAACAGTGATAATTTCTTTGTAATATTGTACATTATTAATTTTTCTTTTCAATCATTTTGTTACCTAGGAGATCTCACAGTTTTATTTGTGGGGGGGGATACAATTCTTTATATAATAACTATTGTAGAGTAATACATCTGTAATATTATATAATAGATAAGGCATATTTGTTCTTATAGGATTTGATATAGATACCCCAGATGATTTTGGCAGGACCTGTCTACATGCAGCTGCAGCTGGAGGGTATGTTAGTAGTATTTTTATCTCTTTTTAAGAAAAGGGTAACTGGACATGGCAATTTTTCTTTTATCTTTGTTCTTCATTAGTTCTGGGCTACTAGAAAATGTAAAACAAAACAAAACATAGCAGGAATAGTTTAGGAATAGAGAGTCCAGGGTAGCAGAAACTACTTTTTTCATCCTCTTACGTCTTAAGGTTTCATCCTCTCACCTAAGTCGTAGGTTATGAGTGGGAAGGAGAGAGTAAACCTACAACAGGAAATAACATTTTCTCTAAAAGAACAAAATTCCAGGATAAATGAAAAACTAATAAATGATTTCTTAAAAATATGTCCTCACATAAGAACATAAAAATACTAGAATGTTCTGAACACTAATACTTCTCTTTAAGTGGGTTTTTTTTAAATCATATTTTCAAGTGGGGAAAAAATGCTGATATGTTTATTTCTTGACTCTATTAGGAAAAGGAAAATTTGAGAGTGGAAGATTTTGGACTAATTTTTAAATAATATTAACAGGGTCAATTAGGTAATCGGTTCAAGTGAACGACAGACTTCAGTTAAAACTCCTGGTCTCTGAAAGCATGCTACTAATCTAGTGGTTCTTATGATTTAGATCTGTGATAAGCCATTCATGATTTATGGAAAGGACATTTTGCAAGAGCTTTATTCCCAGTGATAATTCCTTAAAAATGTTAAATGATTTCAGAGGACAAGTGTGCTGAACTAATACTACCTGGCCAGTCTAAGTTGTAGAGATGGATTGTGAGCATATGACTGGCTTCCTTGTTCTTTGGTCACCAGAGAACCTTCCAGTTAAAACTTAACTTCTGTGTAACTTGCTTACAGAAAGAGGGACAACAGACTTGAGTGTCTGACCATTTTGGCAATTACAGCTTTCATTGTAACATAGTAAGTTGATGTTTAGGTTTATAAAATTTAATTATAGAAATACATATGTGCCTACAATTTTAACTAAAGATATCTCTAAGTAAATAATCATAATATAGGAGAAGATAAGGGAAATCTAACTTTAGATATTATCTGTATTTTCAGGTTTACTTTTTTTTTTTTTTCAGTTTTTAATTTAGTATTAAAAATCACTTAAAAGTTAAGCCATTCAGGGGTGCCACCTATGGCTCAAAGGAGTAGGGTGCCGCCCCATATGCCAGAGGTGGCGGGCTCAAACCCAGCCCTGGCCAAAAAATAAATAAATAAGTTAAGCCATTCAGTTATAAGCATGTTTCCTAAAAATTCATTAGAATCTCTTTTGCAAATGTGCTCTTCCAATTAAATAGTACATGATTCATTTGTTATTTCCTATCAGTGTGCCAAAATGTGTACATAAAACTTTCTAAATTATACATAAAGTTTAATGTTTTATTCTCCATCAAATGTAAATTATGCCATTTTGTTGATAGTTACCCTAAATTAAAAACATACTTTTGTGCTTACTTAAACCTACCAATTTAATTATAAAATTGATGACAATTAAGTTTTCTAATTATATTTTCCTTCAATAGGAATTTGGAGTGCCTAAACCTTCTGCTGAATACTGGTGCAGACTTCAACAAAAAAGACAAATTTGGGAGGTATGGTACGATAGTAGTTCCTCATATAGCAGTGGTTCTCAGCCTTCCTAATGCCGTGACCCTTTAATACAGTTCCTCATGTTGTGGTGATCCCTCCAACCGTAAAATTATTTTCATACACCTGTATTTGTATGGAGTGTATGTGATGGTTTTAGGCAACCCCTGTAAAAGGGTTGTTCGACCCGCAGGGTGAGAACTGCTGCTCTGTAGAATCTGATTTTATTTATTTATTGACTTGCTTAACCTTAACATTGGCTTCTAAGAATTAGCTGAACAATTTAAGGATCTTTTGCTGAGAGTCCCAACTTAAGTCTATAAATTCTAAATATTCTCACTCACAGTTTGCTTTCTCTTGGGTCTTTCCCATAGCCCCAGGTTACCAGCCTTACAAATACCTTACAAATACCAGCCTTATAAATACCTCTATACTTCTTGGTATCATCTCTTCTCCTTCCATAGTTATGTCCATAGAAATGTAAAACATTATAGTACTTTTCCTTCAGGAAACTCACAATAACTAGAACACCATAAAATAATTCTCCTTACCCAAGTCATTTCTTTGTGAGAGATTCTACTACCCATATCTTATTATAGAGCACACTAGTAAGAGGAAGGAAATAGGTTATGAATACATATGTATAATTTTCATTTCTCCTCCTTTCTCCTTTTCTTTCTTTCTCAGACACACATCCACACATCCCACCAAGTATTTCACAGCAAGAAGGGAGCTGAGAAATGACAGTCACAGTGGTTGGTCTTTTAGCCCATGCTAACACTCTCAGGAGTTCAGGGCTCGTTGTTACTATGTTTTTGTTAGTAGTATTTAAAGCTACTTCAAGTTTCTTTTAGTAGAAATTAACATAGAATGCATTGGAACCATACAGGAAAGAATCAAAGGCAGTTTGAATTAGCTTGAAAGATGGAATTGGCAATATTTATATAAGCAAAATTATGTGTGTCAGTAGTTGGAGAATTGTACATATCAAAGTATAAGATAGGCAAGGGTGTGTCAGAAGGCAATGTGTGAATATATGTCAGTGCACGTGGTTGGACCAGTTCAGAAGAGACATAGAAAGAAATTGTTAAAAAAAAAATAAAAGAACTATGTATGATAGGAAATCAGAAATTAATAGAAGAAAAGAGAAAACTGTTTGACCCCTCATTACTTTGGAGAACAGACTGCTGTCATAAGTCTGCTAATAGAAAAATAACCCACAAAATCAAAAATGACTGTATTTGTTTTCAAAATGCAATGTTTATATAGATAACCTGTTTTTATAATTATACTTTAATTCGGTTTATATTAATTTGTAACACTTTGGGCATTGTATACTAAAAATAACAAAGGGCTTTCTGAAACATATTCTGAGTTTAGAAGCTTGGAAGTAATTCAGGGTTAATGTTTCAAAAACATATTCAATTTTTTTTTCTTTTGCCTATCTACTAGGCAGTAATTTTTTTGGTATAGAGGAATCTTTGTAAAACAAAAGTAAGTGTTCTCTCTGCCACCTTACTTTTCTTCTTCTAGCTTTATGTCCAGCCCTGCACAAAACTTTGTGTATATATAGCGGAAGTCAGTGTAAGGCTTCCTATAAATATTTGTAATTGGGTGGAGTAAGAACAATCAACTATGCTCTTGTTTACTAGTTACATCCCTGGCTTTTATCTTTTTTCTGTTAACTTGGGTACAAAAGATCTCCACTGCACTATGCTGCTGCCAACTGCAATTACCAGTGCCTCTTTGCTCTTGTGGGATCAGGAGCAAGCGTGAATGACCTTGATGAAAGAGGCTGCACACCCCTGCACTATGCAGCTACATCAGACACAGATGGCAAGTAAGTATCATATGGGTGGGAGTAAAAGATTACTTCTGTAAACTAGCATCTTCCATATGGATGATTTTCATCACAAATTTATTTTTCCTTTTTGTATTTTTGTTGATTATCTTTCTGTGGCTTTCTCTTGTAGGGAAAAAAATTGCTTTCATAATTATTCCTAACTGATAGGAATAATTACCCATTCCACTCGGCAGTCTACCTTACTGACTGACTGATCTGTTAAAAGGAAGATAAAGGTCCCCTTGTCCTTGCTGCCAAAAGAACATCTTAATATCACTTCCATGCTTGCTTCTATTTAATTTCTCAGAAGCTGCGGCCTTGAGTTTATCATAGGGAAAGGGAGAAAAAGAAAGGTACATGAATAATACCACCAGAAGATTGAGTAGAGATTGGAATACAAGTATCCTTCAGAGGAGGATACTTCAGAAAGTTAAGACTTACAAGGAACCCTTGTAAATTGGTATAAAAAAGATAGTAATTGAACTCTCAGAATGGGACAACATAGTACTACATATTATAACAGAATTACTTCATTGGTTTTCCTTTTTTTTTTTTTCTTTTGTAGTTTTTGTCCAGGTCTGGGTTTAAACCCGCCACGTCCGGCATTTGGGGCTGGCGCCCTACTCCTTTGAGCCACAGGCACCTCCCTCCATTGGTTATTCATATTTATTTTGTCCTTAAAATAAAAAGCACAATTCAGTGGTATTCACAAATGTTATTTTAGTATATATTCTGTAACTAATTTCATAGCCTTTTTTGTTTGATCATCTCCCCCACTCTCAGACAAAGCCATTTTTATAAGTAACATTTTGTTAATGTTAGATTTGTGGTTAAAATTCTAATCTTAAAGGCACTAGTAAATAGAATATACTTTCAATTTGTAGGAATACATCACCTTATACAACTTCATATATACTAGAAAAGTTAGGTGTAGATAGATTTGGGGAGAAGTCAGATTATTTGAAGTATGTTTTTGGATAGTAGCTATTTAAAGAAAATCTATGTTAAAAACTGTAATCAGAAAATACATTTCCATGGATAAGTAGATTATCCCTAATTTATCAATTTTATAATTTCAGTGTTTGATTTATAGATATCCTTTTTTTTTTCTTTTTGAGACAAAGTCTCAAGCTGTCACCCTGGATAGAGTGCTGTGGCATCACGGCTCACAGCAACCTCCAACTCTTGGGCTTAAGCAATTCTCTTGCCTTAGCATTCCAAGTAGCTGGGACTACAGGCGCCTTCCACAACACCCAGCTATCTTTGTTGTTGTTGTTGTTGTTGTAGTTGTCATTGTTGTTTTAGAGGCCCAGGCCAAGTTTGAACCCACCAGCCTCCATGTATTTGCCCAGCACCCTAGCCACTGAGCTACATGTGCCCCCCTGATTTATAGATTTTCTTAAAATAAGTTATACCTAAAGTGACTTTTATCACCATCTATAGTTCTTTACCACTATTTTCAGATCGGTTATTGATCCTCCTTTACCCACACACAGCTTTATACTGTGGTCCTCCTGCCCATAGACAAATAAATTAAACCTGAATTCTTATTGGGGGGAGGGGCAACAAGGAAATAACACAATGTTCAACCCATAGAGTTGGAGCTTTGTTGTTAGTACTGATGTTAAAGTGAAATTAAATCACTAGTTTTCTTACCTACTAGCAACTGTTTTGAGCAAGTAGGCTAGTGATTTTCATTATTTAAAAATGTAATTCTCAGTATCTACATTAAATAACCTAATGAACTAGAAAGAACATGAGGTTTGGGATTAGAAAGACCCACTTTAAATCAAGTCTTCATGTTGTACCTGTTTGTGTCTGAGCAAGTAATTGCTAAGCAAAAGTTGTAAAATTAAAATGAAACCTACCTTTTAGAGTTTCAGGGAAAACTAAGTGAGAATGTGTATATAAGAAAACTTAGCACCATCCTTTGGAGCTTTTGTTTCCTATATTTTAAGTCCCAGAGATTCTGTCTAATACCATATTTGATTCAGTGATTTGTTGCTTAGGAACCTTCTGGAAGGCATAAACTACAGTGACCATTCTAGGGTACCAGAGGCAGCCTTTTAATAAGTGATTGTTTTGAAGGCTTAAATTTAGTGGCATTATAAGGTTGATTTATTTTTCTAAATTCTGCAGATTTAATTCCCCAGGAATATATAAGAGAATCTGGCATAATTAATTCATACTCTCAAACCAAGACTGAAACATTTTCTGAAAAAAGAAACAAGTTCTTCACAGCTTCAAATTACTGTTATTCAATACTATACATTTGCTTGTTTGTTTTTGAAATTTTTTTTACTGATGTCCTATCACAATTTCTGCCTTTAAATCTTCCCAGGGAAAATTGTTTATACTTTGGAATTTTTGACACTCTGACATTGGTATTCTGCTGTACAGGAGTGACATGCAGTAATTATGATTCTTCTCTGCTTTTAACCCCCCCATGCTCATATTTATTTCAATAAATATTGGAAAAATACACAATTTTCCCTGGCTCGTTCTACTCACTCCACTTGTCTCTTGCATAATCCCGTGTCTGCATTCATTCTCTGTATATAGTCATGACTCAGCAGATTCTCTGAAGTGTCTTTATTTCACATTGTGTAAGAATCTAACAAATACATATATGGTTGGTATAACTAGAAACATTAAATATTAATAAATAAAGTTCTCTTTGCCCATTGAAGAGAAGTGGGGCTTGTTTGAGCAAGATAGTGGGGGTCTCTCCCAGATGTAATCTGTAGTGTATATAAGATAAGGGAAAGGAAGAGAGTTGTTTTTTCTGATTACATGGAAGGAGGAAATCCTCCTCATACCAGCTGTCCTGAGATAACCACCATTAACACTTGTATTTATATGTGTTCATATAGATCATTTCATGTCCTTCTCAGCCTTATTCAAAGTTAAAACCCTGTTATATGCTTTTCTGTAGACTTTCCTATATCATAATTATATGTGATCTCTAGCATGCCCCTCAAAACTCTTCCAGCCTCAGCTGGGTATAGTGGCTCATGCTTATAATCTTAGCACTCTGGGAAGCCAAGATGGGTAGATTGCTTGAGCTCAGGAGTTTGAAACCAGTCTGACCAAGAGTAAAACCTGGTATCTACTAAAAATAGAAAAACTAACCAGGTATGTACTTGTGGTCCCAGCTAGTTGGGAGGCTCAGGCAAGAAGACCGCTTGAGCCCAAGAGTTTGAGGTTGCTGTGGGCTGTGATGCCATGGTACTCTACCCTGGGCAACAGACTGAGATTCTTTCTCATAATAAATAAATAAATAAAACAAAACAAAAAACCTATAGACTCTATCTATTACACCATTCCAAATCTCCTTCCACATTTTTAGATGTTTGTTATAGCCTCATTCCTGTTTCTCAGTGCCAGTTCTCTGTCTTAGCCCAGATGGACTGCTATGATACCAAAAACTTAGGTGGCTTATAAACACCAGAAATTTTATTTCTCACTGTTTCAGAGACTGGAAAGTTCATGATCGGTGTCCTGGGAGATAACACTGTTTAGTTTTAGTGCTGTGATCAGTATTGAGGACATGTTCTTCCTACATCCTTCTCCTCACGTGGTAGAAGCAGTAAAAGAGCTCCATGGGGCCTCATTTACAAAGACAGTACTTCCATTCGGGAGGGTTCTGCCCTGATGACCAGATCACCTCCCAAAGGCCTAATACCATCACTTTGGGGTTGGAATTTTACTATAAAAATGGAGGAGGGGAACACGTAAACTTTCAGTCCATAGCAACGCTTATCAAATAGGATCACATTTTGACTTCTAATATCATTGTTAATTTTTGTCTGTTTTCTAACTGTTTACGTGGAATTGTGCAGGTTTTCGTGTAAAGATTTTGTAAGCCTTAGATTTATTCCTATGTATTTGATATTTCTATTGTCAAAATCTGTCTTTTGTTTGTGGTGGTGTATAGAGATGTATATTTCCCTTTTGTACATGGCTTACATTCTCCAACCTTCCTAAACTCATTTTATATAAAGTAGAACCTCCATAGTTGACAGTCTCCTTAAGTTGACCTAATTTTCATGGACCAGATGTACCACCTCTATGTATTACTACAGTAGTAGGACTAGTTCCTCCTCTGTATATTGACCAGTTTATTACAGTCCCTTAGGTAGTCAACTTACAGAGATTCTACTGTATTTTTTTTATTCTTTTTGATTCTGCTGTATTTTAATTTCAGGTGACAGAAGAAGAATCTTCATTTCTTAATTGAGTTTTATAAAATGAGTGTATATAAATGTACAGTCAGGGAAAAAGTTGGAATAGACACTCCTTTTCCCTTATTCACAAATTAAAATTGAGGTCTACATTTTCAAGATGAAGTAATTTTGTTCAGTATTTTACAGACATCTATGTTAAATTGTCACTAACCCATTAACCACTGTGCTGAAGCTTTGTGGGAGCATAGAAAGAACAGTTAATACAAAGTAGAAGACCCAAGAGTTAGTCCTGGATTTGCCATATTCTAGCCAAACGGTTTGGGTCAAGTCATTTAACTTTCCTGGATGTGACTAATTTTTTTTATTTGTAAAAGATAATACCCAGCTTGTCCCACAAAGTCATTATTAAAATACAGATTGCTTGGCAAAATCTAAAATGCCAGTAGAAGACATTTTATTGTATAAATCAACTTACCTTTTGTTTTTCTTGTATGAGCCTAACATCTGAATAACATTAATGTGGAATATTAAAGAAATAATATAATTTGATAAGAATGACTATAAGAATAATGATTGGGCAGCACCTGTGACCCAAAGGAGTAGGGCACCAGCCCCATATACTGGAGGTGGCAGGTTCAAACCCAGCCCCAGCCAAAAAATGAAAAAAAAGAATAACGATTACGTTCTTTTATACAATTTAATGAGTAAACTTGTAAGTAGTCTCTATAAGTAATGTGTTGGGACATACTCTCCCACTTTAGAAAATAAACATGAACTCACCTACTTGTTTTGCTTTCCTTAAATAAATCT